TCAAAGGATTCTCTTATGTTTACTTGCCACCTTTTGAAGTGTTATATGGCAGAGTATTTTTAAAGACAGTATACAAGTACAGCTTTGCTTCGAGTGGACTCCAATTCCTCAAGCTGATAAAGTTTATGATGCTAAGTTTTACTAACCTGATTGAATGAATATCTTAGACTAGAACTGGACTTTGAGAAAAGTTGAAAAGAACCACTATAGTACTAAGAGAATAGGTATCTGATTTTGGAATATCTATGACAGGAAAGCTATATATATGACTGTATTTTCATTTGATAAGGGAAAGCAGTTTGACAAGTGGATCAAAAATGAGAAATAAGGTTATTAGTATGAAGTCTTTGTTGTATTAGCAAATTTGAAACCATTGAATTCATTAATGATGAGCCACTATTGGTTGATAAAAATGAATCATTAATGGGAAGTTATGATGTAAAGGGTATTAGTGTCGGTGCTGATAGAAGTCTTTGGGCTCTGAATTACAACAAAAGATCAGGAGAGTTGAATGATTATTACTTCTAACTTATTAAATTGGATCCCTTATTCCAACAATAGCATGTATTGGATGGGATCTATGGGTATAAAATCGCAGTTTTCAATGAGATGTCCATCGCTGTACTTGATCTAAGGGGCAAAATAAGAATATCAAATGACGGGTTTCTTCAATAATGAAAGGTATTCAAAAAAGTATCAGATAATAGAAAATTAGTAGAGGACTAGAAATAGGAAAATTCAACAAAATTATGCAATGACAGTAAAATTCTCAAAGGAATGGGCTTGACTTTATCAAATTTAATCTTGATAAGAACTCTTTCATTTGCAAAAGTGCTACAAGAGATGGATTCAATAATGCTCTTTCAATTGATTATATTTCCTAGTTGATTTATTTATTTTGTGCTTGTGGTCTATTAATCACTTAATTTAATTTAAAAAGGTAACTGTTATCTAATAAAATGCTATCATTTTAAATACCATCCCATATTACATATTTAACAATGAATTTAAATTACATTTTTGAATTGATATATTAACTCATTCGGGGTTTTGGGGTTTTGGGGTTTTGGGGTTTTGGGG